ATCATTCTGTGAGTAAGTAAGTAGGTAAGTAGGTAAGTAAGTACGTAAGTAGGTAAGTAAGTAAGGAAGTACGTAAGCAAGTAAGTTAGTCCGTAAGTTAGAAAGTAAGTAAGTAAGTAAGTAAGTAAGTAAGTAAGTAAGTAAAGTAAGTGAGTGAGTCAGTCAGTAAGTAAGTAAGTAGGTAAACGAGAGAAAGTTATTGAGTCAGTAAGTAAGTCAGTAAGTCAGTAAGTCAGTCAGACAGCCAGTCGGCCGATGTACTGAGAGTCTGTTCCCAACCCACCAAAGTCAGTCAGTAAACAAACAAGTCAGACAGTTCTGGAGCCAGTGATTGTGCGGCGGTGACGGCGATCAGCTATAGGTAAAGGCCCGCCCACAACAACACGCGCAAATCGGCATCCCGGAAATTTTCTCCCTTTTGTTTTGTAATTATTGTTTTCAGATTCGGTCCAGGTGCTTCGCGGTGCTTCGAGGTAACGACGCTGTAAGGGTCTCGCTGCTGGAATACGCGCCGTTTCCATCAGGCATTCCAACGCCCACAGCCCCGACCAATCAGAGATTCTCATCCTCTCTCTCTCTCTCTCTCTCTCTCTCTCTCTCTCTCTCTCTCTCCCGCGCACAATCGCCAAGTGCGACCCATTTCAGGCCCTCCGCCCCCCCAGTCTCCGGACGTGCCCCTCCCCCCCCCCTCTCCCCCGCAGGTTCCCATCTCCATTCTAACCTCTGCGGATGCAGGAAAGAGTTTGGTGGCCATCTCCGCGGGAGGTAACGCCCCACCGAGAAAAAACGCCAAGTCGAGGGGAAGACCGGGACGGCCCGAGCACCGCGGGGGGCTCGCGACGTGGCTGGCGCCGGGGCGGGGCGGGGACACCCACCGCGAGAGGACCCCGAAGACAATTTCACGGCCCCGGTGATCTGCATGGCCGGCGCACGCTTGGCGCACGCACCCACAATCAGCGACTCAACTCGTCCGGCAGTCGATTCCATTCCGCCGTGACTTCGGCCGGCTTCGGCCAGGGATTCCGAGGGCCGCTGCCGAAGAGTGTCGCCGCGCTCTGTCTCTCTCGCACCCGTAGGGGCGTCCCCTACGGGTGCGAGAGAGACAGAGCGGGGAAATAATCTCCTTGGCCGAGGCGGCAATAACACAGGCGTGATTCACTGCGGGCCAATAGGGCCGTTATATGAGCTTGTCTGGTCCATGGTCCTTGGTCCGGCACCCCGGCCGCTTAGAGAGAGACCCTCGTCCGCTCGGTACCCGCGTCACGCCGGCAAGGCGAATCCGGCGGAGCCCGACTGCACCTTCATGAACCCCTCCGGGCCCAGCACCGCGGGCACCGCCCTCCTCTGATCCCCGTCGGACTGATTCCGAGAGCCGTTTTCGTCGCTCTGTCTCCCTCGCACCCAAACGGAACGCCCCTTGAGAGCGAGAGAGACAGAGCGACGAAAACGACTCTCGGAATCAGTCTGCTGATGCTCATTTCTACGAGATGCAAACGTTGGCGTTCTATTTTCCTTCTATTTTCCGGCCGCGTTTTTTTTCGTGCCGAGCGGATTCGGCTCTCCACTCTCCACCTTTCCACCCCCTCCCCCTCTCCCCCTCACCTCCACGAAAGCCCCCGCAGCTTCCATCTTTATTTATTTTGGAGCGTAACTCCTTTATCCCAACTTATCGCCTCTTCATTCTGTGAAAAAAATAAAAAAAAATAACGAAAATGACGGGCGTCGGCGTCTCCTCGGAGTCTTCCGGCATTATGCGCGTCTTTGGCCACGTTTTTAAATACGGCGTCAAAATAAAATTTAAGAAAAAAATAACTTTGTTGCGAAACACTTTTCGTTTTACTCTCCCCGTTTCCTGCCGGGGATCCATATCTCAGACCTGTTTGTTTTATTTTATTTTAAATCCTTTTTTTTTCCAAGGTGTCCCTGCTCTCTGGCGCCGAAAAGCGTGCTTCAAAGTCCTGGGCCAAAGAGGGAGGGAGGGGAGGGGAGGGGGGGAGGGCTTGGCTTATCTCCACCCCTTGGCTCCTCAGTTTCTTGCGGACTGCCAAGCGAGAGGGGCTATGAGGTGACGGCAGGTGCGTATGTTGTGCTGCCGTGTGTGTGTGTGTGTGTGTGTGTGTGTGTGTGTGTGTGCATGTGTGTGTGCATGTGGATGTTCGTGTTGCCCGTACCGCAACCGTCAAGCCTCAGCTGCTTTGTGATAATGGAGACACAAAAGGAAATGAGACCGACGCATGCCGACAGACAGACAGACAGACAGACAGCGCGAGACAGGCGGGTCCGGTCGTCCTGCATTAGCAACCCCTCCGGTTCTGAATGGAAATCCCGGGCACATGATATAGTGGCGTGCATTGGAGGGCCGCGCCGGAAACGCCTCAAGGAGTCCACCGGAAGCGCGACGCACAGCCGGAAGCAGCGCGGGAGGGGAGGGAGGGGAGGGGGTGACTTCACAGTGTGAACAGGCGGCCGGAAGGTCTTACAGGGGCGGCCCCGCGATGGCTGACGCGCTGAGGGGTCGGCGAGAGAAGAAACAAATTATTGTGCTGTGCGACGAAGGGGCTCGGCTCGGGGGATCGCTGCTGGCTCGCTGAGCCAATATTTATTTCTTTTTGTCATCGCCAGGGATGCTCGAAGGCGGCGCTGAGTCTTCCTCCTTGTGCCGGCTGTTGCAGCGCGGTATCCACGCTTTGGTCGTAAGTAAATAAATCAAAGAAACTGACAAAAAATGCGGGAAAAACAAGCGTTTGGAAAAGCCATGGGTGAAGCGGGCCGTAATGCGGTGTCGGTAACAGCCGGCAAACAGTGGCCGTGAAAATGAAAGGGCAAGCCTTTCCCTCCCTTCTCGCTCTGGCCGCTCTGCCTGCGTCTCCGCGAGTAATTGCCAATTCCGGTAATAATGGCGCCTCGGGCCGCCGGCACACTGAGAGTCGTTTTCGTCGCTACTGACTCCCTCGCACTCATGGGGCGCCCCGTGGAGGTGCGAGAGAGACAGAGCGAGACTCTCGGAATGAGTCCGCTGCTCGGTCCGCCCCGCGCGGCCAGCCGAGGCAGGCAGCACCGGAAGCGAGTAATAAACGTGTCGACAAAGAGCCCGGCCCTCTGATTGGCCGCGAAGGCCGCGAAGGTGGCGGTGTTTAAAAGGCTGCCGACCTAACCTAACTAAGATTTACGACGCAGGGAGGCGCCACGCTACAAAACGCTACGAAAACGCGGCCAAATCGATTCGCAGTCAAGATAAACCCGACTCGACCAATTATTCGGCGTTCTCCTGAAATTTGTCGGGGGGTTGGGGGGGGGGGGGCAGTTTGTCGCGGAAGACTATACACTGCAAAGGTAAGTGAAGTGCTGCACACTCGGGGGCACGGCGGGCAGTACACTGTACAGAAATCCGGTCAGTGCCTCTCCACCAGAAACCAGGCAATACCGTTCCAAAGCACCAATTTTTTTGTAACATCAGGAGGATTTGAACCTGAGCCCTCCGCAGTGCGCGGAGGAACGCTTCTTTTTTTTTTCCACGCCACATAGTCGTCTCATCTTTAGAGCACTGTAAGCACCGCGAGGGAAGAAAGACGTCGCCAGCCAGCATGGGCCGAACAGTGCCTTCGTCGCTCTGTCTCCGAAGAGGGCGAAGACGGCATGAAAAAGGCGTCAACGCTTATCACGAACCACGGCACCGCGACCACGGCACCGCGACCACGGCACCACGGCGGAGGGAGAAGAAGATCATGGTCCTGCGAGGGGAGGCCGGCGCGGGATATCCTCAAGATTGAGTGCAGGACTATTGTCCACCTTTCTGGAAGCAAGTCATGCTTCCGGAAGAGTCGTCCTTTGTGGCGCCGCCGAGGACGCGCCGTGAAAGAGACGCGGACAAGGCCGTCGCCAAAATGGCACAAAAATGACAGGAAAAAGACGAGGCAGCGAAATGCCGCGCCAATCAGACGTCGTCCAGCACTAAAACCTAACACTAAAAAATTCAATTTTTTTCAAAGTGTTTTTGTGTGATGTTTTCGGTAAAGAGTTGAAATAGAAACGTGTTATTTGAATTAGGAATGGACCACTATTTTATGACTCCAGAATTCAGAGGGCTATTTCGGCCATCAACTGTCTTTTTTCTGCACTGTTAAAAAAATCAGTTGTAATTTTCATAACATTGGTTGGCATTTTTTTTCACAAACAATTGTTATGAAAATTAAAATCACAAATGATTGTAAATTGTTTTACAATCACGTTATGAAAATTCATATCATGTTATGAAAATTCATATTCGCGTTTGCGAGGTCATTTTAGAGCAGTTAAGCAAAAGGACAACTAAGTGTTCATGTATATGAACACCCAAGCGGCCTTATGCCATTTCTTGAACCGATTATGCTTTTGATCAGCGGGTTTCGAACCCGGGATCTTTGACTTGTGGTGCACGCTCTTTACCGCTGTGCTACCACGTCCCACGGGAGGCAGAGGGTCAGCTACTGATGACTCTACCAGCGCCCCTTGGCCACGCCTCTTGAGCTAGTTATGAAATTTACAATCGGATTCGGAAAATTACTATTGTGAGCTCAAAATCAACACTTAAGATCCGCAATTTTCAGAACATGGTTCCAAGTGACACCAGGTCAGTTTACGAAATTGTTTCGAATTTTCGCATCAAGTTATGAAAATTGCAATGTTTGTAAAATTCATATCCGTATTCGTAAAATTGTCATCAAAATTGCTTTGAAAATTCATAACTTTTTTAACAGTGTGGCGATGTGGTTAAAGAACGAGGTTTGCCAAAGAGTCTGACAAGGACCGTATTGGTTGGCCGGGGCCTGTCCTTGCCCGCCCACGTTCTAGGCGGGGCCGTCCTTGAATGGCAGTGCCCGGTGCCTAATCTACCGCGTTCTCTGTTCGCCGCTAGAAGACTGACTCTGTTTCGTCGCTCTGTCCCTGTCGCACTCACCGAGCGTGTCTTTGACGCGCGAGAGAGACAGAGTAGTGTTCGGAATCGGCCTGCAGGAGTCGTCCTTATCAGTGTGCCGGCAGGACTCCTTCGGCGAACGGCGATCGTTCGGCATGGCGGCCAGTCGGCGAGGTGTCGAGGCGAGGGACTAGGGACGCAGTCTCCGCACTGGAAGCGCTGGAATTCCTGGAATCTGCGGCGGCGACGACGCGGCAGCGACCCGTGGCGTCATGGAGAAGACAGGTAGCGTGCCCCAGGGGCGGATCCAGGGACGGGTTGAGGGGGCCGCGAAAGTTGCCTACTTACAGGGGCAAAAAGCGACGCGACTCGTCGCCTTCCTCTCAGGCAGGCGGATTCCAGAGACCCCCTGGAACCGTGCCTGCCCCGTCCCTCCGCCACCACGGCCTAGATGACCTCCCCGCGGGGACCGGCCTAATCCTCGCGCTCTGCCTCCAGGCGACGACGGCGTGCTGCTGGCGCGGCGCTCCTCCACGTCCCCCAAGCCCTCCAGGTAAACGACGGCCTCCTCGGCCTCCTCCTCGGCGTTGGCGGCGCTGGCGGCCGCGCGCTCCTGACACACTGCCCCTTCATTCGGCCCTTGGTTCTCCAGGCACCCCTCCAGCGAGCGGCGCACCATGACCAAGAGCGGTGATGCCCAGGTCGCCCCGCTCAACGTGCCGAACAAGCACAAGCGCTTCTTGCAGGTGAGTCGGCCACTGCGGGTATTTGGGGCGCGGAGCGGTGCGAAGCCACGCCGCCAGCGCTATCTTATCTCGACCCGCCGTGCAAAACGCATTCCCGCGAGAGGACGGCTTACTACACATGTCGTTTGCGTTCTAAACGATCACAGCTAATATGCCCTCTCGCAACAGGACTTTTTCAACACCCTGGTGGAGTGTCGCTGGAGATACACCCTGCTTGTTTTCCTGCTGTCTCATTTTGCCAGTTGGTTCATTTTTGCCGTGATTTGGTATGTCCTCGAACTCACATGACATTCGGAAAAAAAGGTTCAAAACGGGGTTTCTTATTTCGTTTTATTGTAGGTATTGCATGGCTCTCGCACACGGTGACTTCGAGGATCGGCTTCCTGGGGAACAGCCGTGCATTATCAACACGATGGACGTGACGAGGTGAGGGCTCGGGTGAGGGATTCAGGGTTCTGTTTTGCTTATTTTTTATTAACAAAAGGTGTTTACGCCAGTGGTCTGACCTTCACCGGCTCCTTCATCTTCTCCATGGAGTCCCAGACCACTATCGGCTACGGCACGGCCTACCCGTCCAAGGACTGCCCCCAGGCCGTCGTGGTGCTGTGCTTCCAGAGCGTCTGCGGCATGATCATCGAGGTAAAGTGTCGAATCTGGCCAGTTTGAGCTCCAGAGTCGCTCAACAGTACTGGAACGAAGCGTGTGGCCCCACCAATGGATTCCTCGTTCGGCGAGCAATCCACTGGTGGGGTCACACGTTCGGTTGGAGTCCTGTTTAACGACTCTGGAGCTCAAAACGCGTCGCTAGAGTTTGGGCCGCCCCCACCGGTCTTCTGGCGCACTGTGCTCCTGCGTTCTGCCTGCAGGCCTTCTCCGTGGGGATCGTGTTCGCCAAGATGACGCGGCCGCACCTGCGCACGCAGACGCTGCTCTTCAGCCGCAGGGCCGTGGTGGCCGTGCGGGACGGCTGCCTCACGCTCATGTTCCGCGTCGGCGACATCCGCAAGTCGCAGCTCGTCAGCACCAAGCTGTGGGTCGTCATCAGCGGCGTCAGCGACCCGGACGAGCCGGAGATGGACCAGACCGAGCTGGCGGTCACCTTCAACGGCAGCGCCAACAACCTCAACACCAGCTGGCCCACCACCGTGGTGCGTCCCACAGCCTGCGTACTGAAGAGTGTTCATGGTCAGGCGCGGATCCAGGGGGTGGGCAATTGCCTCCGCGAAGGCCCTTAGAAAGCCGCCAGAAAGCCGCACTTTGTCCTACTTTGCTCCTCCCTCAGGCCGGCTCTGGATCCGCCACTGTACATGGTTATTGACCCTCAGAAGAGTCACACTTTGTGCGTAAGAGTCACCCATGTACACTCTTCAGTTTCCAGAGCTACCCCCTCCAACCCTCCCTTGGTGACGAACGATCGCAGTGCCCGATATTGTCTCGGTTTTAGATGCACAGAATCAACGACAAGAGTCCGCTGTATAAAATGGACCCCAGGGACCTCCTGGAGGACACGTTCGAGATCCTGGTGTTCCTGGAGGGCACCATCCAGTCCACGGGCCAGACGACGCAGGCCCGCACGTCATACACCCCGTCCGAGATCATGTGGGGCCATAAACTGTACCCCATGTTACGGTGAGGCCCAGCCCTGCCTCGTCAACCCGCCCCACCGTGATATAACAATATTTCCTTGTTTGAAAATTTTTGTTTGCAGGTACAGCAAAAAGCTGAGGAGGTACGAAGCAGACTTCAATCGGTTCCACGAGACCATTGAGGTGGAGACCCCCCTGTGTTCTTCATACAATTTGAATCGAGTTCGGCGCCTGTCGGAACTGAGCGTGCTTCACCCAATCAGCGAGAGCCGCGAGGAGACGGCAGTGGAAATAGAGTCGTAGTATCTTTTTTATACTGGTTTTAATAAAGTTTGTACGAGAAAATAACATTTTATTCGTCACGCCAAAGGAATTTAAAAATCCAGATACAGTTTGCCGAGTTATTCGCCACGTTCTAACGAATAAAACGAATAGACTAACTAAATACAAAAGTAAGATTTTGGTATTTTAACTACACCTTAAACCTATGAGTAACATCAACTGATATAAAATATGCTCTAGAAATAATCATTATTGCATAGCTCTATGAGAAGACTATAACTACTATTACAAGCTCACGAAAAAACACATACGGAAATTTAGAGAAAACAACGCAATTGCTTTTATGTGACACTTGATATGAAAATATGTTGCACACTCACACCAAATAGTTTTAAGTTCAAAAGAAACCTACAATTTTTTTCATGTTGTCCAAGACTACAGAACAATGCTGCCTGATATGGTGGCTGTTTTTAATTTAATTACATGGCTATATCAGTCGAGAAGGTGGCACACCAAAACAACCCCATTGCCCACCCAAAATACATAAATTCTAAAGATGTAGTTACTCGCTCGACAACCGAATGCCTCTGAATTTAATGCACCATCAATAATAAAATCTTGCATAAGACTCTAGTGAAGGAGTAGCACCAGCCAAAAACAAAGTCAAGAAAAATACTGGGAAAGTCTGCTACTTTTCAGGGAAGAACTAGGTTCTTTCAACAGTGTCTTCACTTAAAATACAAACTCCTTTCCACCTAGTTGTGAAACTGAGATTATTGATCGGTTTTCTGCGATCGATTCCTCAGTCAATCAACCCAAAGTGTGGTACTATCAGTGAAAAGAGAATGACATTTGTCATCTCAGGCGCACACTTAAAACCTTTTGAAGTATTTTGAGCATAAGTAAGGTACAAACTATTTAGTTGGTAATATGAAGAAATAATTCGTGTATCACAAGGTATTTCCTTTGTAAGCTTACATATGATCAAAATGCTTTGTTATATCAGGCTTTAATAGTTTGTAAGGTTTTCAGAGTGCCCTGAATCATTCCTTCTCTAATGTACGGAACTGCAGCGATACTGTATTTTATCTTTCGACAGTGACAGTATCCACCGAATGCATCTTGGGATGACAAACCCAGCTGTCATCCATAATTAAAAATAAATATATGGCAAATTCGCGCAAAGCCCCATTGAAGCCAGCAGATGTCACCACCCTACTTACTCATTCACTCCACTTACTTATCGTAACAAATTCATAAAAGGAAAAAGCATCTGGGAGCTTTGTTCGTCGACTTGTAGAAAAGCTCCACACTTTCTGAGATTCTGAAGAGCCTGACAGCAAAATATTTACAAAGGACAAGGTACAACTTTACATAGGCCTAATGTGCATAAACTTAACAGTTTTCTTAAAAGTACATATATATGTTTTTTTTTTCTCAACGTAGAGCACATCCGCCCTATTTAGCTGTGTTATTGTTCCCACTTGACTTTATTTTAAAGTTTACTACGAGTTAAAACATTTATCTCAAAAGCCGAGTTCAAGCTTGAGAGGGGAGAACGAAATGAAGACGCACACAGAAAATATCTGGAACAAAAACGGGCTTCGAAACCGGACACGGGTCGGAGAAGGTGAACGACGTCTAGCTCTATTTCACGCACCAAGAAGCCGTCACTGGTAAACACAACGCTTTCAACCCGCCGCTACAAGTTCATGAACAAACGAATTTAAAAATAATTCACCACGTTTCACATTTCGGAATGCAAAAGAGCGGCGACCCGCAGTCGCACGGACTGTCAGACACGGTTCTTTGCATTTCGCAAGTGACTCTATACGTGTGCATTGTCTCTTCGTTTTTGACACAGAATAAAAAGAAGAAGAACACTTGCTGCGTGATCACACGAAGATGAACAAGGCCCCCTTCTTGCACGACGGGCACTCGAGTGACACGGCCTTGTCCTTCTGCTCCTTGTGGCGGTGCGTTTTGGAGCCGCCGGCGTCGTCCTCGTCGACCACCTGGTTCTCGTCCGGAGAGTCCCCGAGCATTTCCTGCCAAAACAAAAACCGATCGGTAAAAGAAAAAGGGGAGGCCATATTCGAACCGCGGTTCTTGGAGTCAGAAAGTGGACGTCCCAGGGCGCTCGGCTACGACGGCTGTACTCACATCGTCCGCGTCGGGCTCGGGCTGGTCGCTCTCCAGGCGCACCCACTTGCCGTGGCAGTGAGTGGCGGCCAGCGCGGACCAGCGGGTGGCGCGGTCCACGACGCCGTGGCCCTGGCAGCGGTAGCCCAGCGACTTCCGGATGGCCTGCGACTCGCAGCGGACGCACACGCGGGAACCTGGGGGCGGCAACGACCGGGGGCGTCAGCAACAACCAACCTATGTCTCTCTCGCACCCCTACGGAACGCCCCGTGAGTGCGAGAGAGACAGCGACGAAAACGACTCTCGGAATGACAAGAGCGCTCACCTTCTCTGAGGGCGGTGAATCCCTTCTCCTTCCTGCAGGCCTTGGACGCCTTGATCACCTCAAACGGCACGCAGTACCTGCACACAGACAGACGCACATTCGTGTTTATTCGCCGTCATTCCAGGCACACCTGTCCGGCCGCAGGTGCGTCTGAGGGCACCACTCTGCATGCGCGACGCGCCCTGCCCCGCGGAGCCCCGCACCGGACCACGGCGCGCCCCGGCGTCCGCAACCACGCCCCGCCCCGCCAACTTTACTGCGGCGACACCCCCGAGGGGCGTGGTCGCCGGGTCAGCCCGCACAGCGGCGCAGCGTGCTGTTATCAAAAGACACTGCGGAGCGCGACGCCACAAAGTAAAGAAAATCATATCAAAATGGCCTGGAATAAACGCAAAATGAGGAACGAAAAAAAATCTGCAGATCTCAGAAGGTGACTTGTGCACAGCCAATCTGATGCACTTGGAAAATCCTGTGTTGGCTTGACTGTAAAAGCATCAAATTACATTTTTAACCGAAATTTTGAACCAAATTTATTTTTTGAGAGGGAAACAATTTGACTTGAAAGTTTACGCCTCGGTTTACGCACTAAATGTTTATATGCAGAATTTTGTACGTGTCACTTGCACGATTTTGTGCATACGTGGAATTTGCATAATGTGGGAATAAATTTGTGCAAATTTGAGTACAATTTTATGCAAAACGTGACCCAGGTTGAAAATCATGCAGCGCCACGTACAAAATTGTACATAAACATGGGAGGGTCAACGGGGAACAACAACAAAAGGACTCACTCGTTGTCGTCGGCGGGGTCCTTGGGGTAGCGCAGGCGCAGGTTGCGGCGGATGTCGTGCGTGGCGTTCGCCTCGCGGCTCCAGCCCAGGGCGGCGGGCAGCAGCAGCGCCGTCTCTGCAATCATTCACCACAGTGCTCAAAATTAGCTTGTTTTTGGCCTTTTTTGGGGGCAACATTTCAGATTTCCCAGAGATTTCTAGCTCAAAGGGACGACAAGATTTCTAGAGTGGCTGCCCCCTCGATGTTCACAGTGTTCTTAGGACTCATAGAGTTGACAGTTTTCAAAGGGTTCACAGGGGTCACCGGGGGTCACAGTCTTGCAGTGTAGACGCAGTGTTGACATGTTGACAGTGTTCACAGAATTCCAGAATTCACAGTGTTGACAGTGACGTGGCGAAAATTAAATTCGCGTGATTGCGCGCGAGCTACTAGTCGGACGCCTCTCGTCCGCGCGACCCCGCACTGCAGAGACATTGCCAAGTACTTTTAGCGAAAGGAGGGCACAAACTATTTGCCTCACTGTGAAAACAGTTTTCTCAAGCTGAGTCACGAATTACACGCGCAGCAGGACGGCCCGCTGCAAATGCATTTTTCAACCCCGGGAAGGTGAGGTTCCCCCGCGGCCTGGTGGCGCCGGGGGCAGCGGGGGCGGCGCGTTGGGGGCAGCGTGGCGAGGGCGGCGTGGTGGGGGCGGCGCACGGTTCCTCGTCGCAAGCCAAGCCAGCCCCACCTAGGGCCCCGCTAGAGTGCCGCGCCGGCTAGGCCCTGTTGGGTCCTGCCCAGCCGCGCGCGCACTGAGCAGTCCAGCTGCTTGCCTCTCAAAAGTAATCTCCAAGTTGCGCGTTTGCGAAGCGGGATAGGGGATGGGACCGTGGGGGACCTCGCCCGGGAAAATATCGCGCAGCAGTTCCACCGGTAAGCCGGACCCCCCGCCTGCCCCGCCCCTACACTACTCTGCACGAGACCTCATCGTATGGCACAGTGGGCGGTGGAGGCGGTCAAAATTCCACACGGGTTTTGAGCTCCAGAGTCGATAAGTGGGACTCGAACTGAACGTGTGACCCCACCAATGGGTTGCTCTCGAAACGAAGAATTCATTGGTGGGGTCACACGTTTGGTTCGAGTCCCATTTAGCGACTCTGGAGCTAAAAGACACGTCCAGAAATTTCAACCACCAGGTAAATTTTCTAATTTCTTTCCAGTTGTGGAGAAAATCTCAAACTACGTTGGAGCAACCGTTCCACCGTGAGCCATCACTGACGAAATTGGCCATCATTTTGAACGTGTTGAACATGTCTGCCTCGATTTTGTCGTAAAGTGACAACACATTTTTTTACAGTGCCAACGGCACCTAGTTAAAGGTGTGCCAACACAACAAACTTTGGAAACCGGTAATGGAAACTTGGCGAAAAAGGAAACAAACGGAGCGGCGGAAAGTTACGCGACGGGGCGAGCGGGCAAGCAGGGCAAGCACGGCGGGCAGCGCATGGCGTGGTTAACGCGCGCACTTTAAAATGTACCGGACAAGTTGGCCAGCCTGAACGCGGAGGCAAACAGCGGCGGGGGACCCGCTGGGCGTAGCCGGGCGGTGCTGCCAACGTGGCGACGCTAAAGCGCGCTATAAGCGGCCAAAAATGGGCATAAATTGCCGCGGGGTTTCAACTACGCTGCAGCACGGCCACGCGACGCCGCAGCACAGTGGGCCAGAAGGCCGGTGGAGGCAGCCGAAACT